GGGGGGCAGCTCCGCGGGAGGGGGGCGAGACCCGGGAGCAAGCAGGCGCTGCCCTGGGACGGGGCGGTGTGCCGCTTTCGTGCGACGAGAGGAGGGGAGGCTGTTGGAAAACTACCGAGCGAAGTTAACGGGTTGTCTGTCCTTTCTGTTTTAGGGTGGGCCGGTGGAAATTCTGCCGTTCCTCTACTTGGGCAGTGCTTACCATGCCTCCCGAAAAGACATGCTGGATGCTTTGGGGATCACGGCGTTAATCAATGTCTCGGCGAACTGTCCCAACCACTTCGAAGGGCACTACCAGTACAAAAGTATCCCCGTGGAGGACAACCACAAGGCAGATATCAGCTCCTGGTTTAACGAGGCGATTGACTTCATAGGTAAATGAGCTCTCTTTACAGTCTGTTCTTTTTCTGGAAAGCATACCCTGGGAAGTGATTTTTTTGGGCAATGTTTTCCCCAGTAAAACCTGCATTTGAGATTGGGGAATTTCATTCCATTGGGGAGATATACAAGGGGAACATTTCTACTAATTTTATTCTACTCAGAGGAATAATCTTAGCTTTACTATAGCTTTAGCTATTTGAAATCTTGAATCAGGAGGCATTGGTCTTGCAGAAAAGAGCTAGTGAATTTAAGCGGATCAGTATTAAAGTAATCTTGCAAGACTGCTAAAGTGACCTGGAGGAGCTATTAGTATAATTGGAATTGGAGCCCAGAATGAAAATAGCTAGATTGCTGGTTCCCTCAGGACAAAGGCTCTCTTTGTCTCAAAAGCACTGGGTGTACCTATTAGGCTAAGGAAGGGATGGATTAAAGAAATGTAAACCAGCAGCCTGTGCTTTCCCACCTCTGGAAGCAGTGGGACTTGTTTGCTAACTGTGTATTTTAATTCTTTCAGACTCTGTTAAAAATGATGGAGGAAGGGTATTTGTGCACTGCCAGGCTGGCATCTCCAGGTCAGCAACCATCTGCCTTGCTTACCTCATGAGGACCAACAGAGTCAAACTGGATGAAGCCTTTGAGTTTGTGAAGCAGAGAAGAAGCATCATCTCCCCAAACTTCAGCTTCATGGGGCAGCTGCTTCAGTTTGAGTCGCAGGTCCTGGCCCCCAACTGCTCAGCAGAAGCTGGCAGCCCTGCTATGTCAGTATTGGACAGAGGAGCATCGACCACCACGGTCTTTAACTTTCCAGTCTCCATCCCTGTTCACACCTCATCCAGTGCTTTAAGCTATCTTCAGAGCCCCATCACCACTTCCCCGAGCTGCTGAAAAGCGGGTGAAAATATGGTCAGAACTCAGACTTACTGTCTCAGAAGTGCAATAACTACAGGGACAGTGTCATCAGTCACTCATGTTTTGTGGAGAACCATCCATGCATCCCAGAACAGTGTCGTAAACGGAGAGGAGCCCACCTGATGCCAGAGAACTAGGTGTTACTGACTTTTCTGCTGACTTTTAAAGCCAATATCTGGATGTCTACACAGAGATCAAAGGACACTGTCCCTTCCTGAGCTGTTCCTCCTTGTCTTCTGTCTGTCCTAAGCCTGCTCCATGTTTAGTGGCATGCTCACCAGTATTCCCATTCCTGGACACTTTGAGCAACACTGATGCTGTCCCCTTTTTATGACAGTCCTATTTATTTATTTTTACATTAGTGCATTGTTTTTTTGCCTTCACAAACCTAAAGTTTCATTTCTAGAGAAACCAAATACCTCAGTATTTTTTGGTACTGTAATCCTGTGTGTGTATATATCTGTCAGCTCTTCTTGTTTCCCAAGCACTGACGTGAAAGCACCAGGCGAGTGCTTTTTTGAGTTGCCAAGGGTTGTATGTTTGATTTATTTATGATGTGAAATAATATATTTCTTCTTATGAAGACATAGTTTTGTTACATGATTATAACTTTTTTATACAAACAGAATAAATTATGATATTTCTATTGAGCTGGATGATACATTATTTAAAATCTTGCATTTTACAGTCCCAAAACTCACGTGGAAGTTCCTAGATAAAGAGCTGTAAGAGAAATCTGAATTTTCAACTCTACTGACCTCAGATCTTGACTGAACTAGATAGGAAAATGGGTTTAAACAACATAATTGACTACTGCTGCTTCTTAACCTGAGGTTTTTCTTTGTACCCATATAATTATATGCAGTGGCAGAGAGCCAAGGCTGGCTTCTCGGCTGTAAGGTGGATTTGCCTGCAGTGGTGGCCACAGAGCTGTATTAGTTCGAATCAGCTGTTCTGGGCACAGGGCTACAGTGAATTTAAAGTAGTCCTCCTAGGAAGGAGGAAGAAGCTTCCTTATTGCTTGTTTACTTCAATGCTTCAAAGGTTAAGTCTAAAAATTAACCTGTTGGTAACAGATCTCCAACGCTTGTGAGTTTGTGCCAAGGTGTTTTCTTCTTCTGTCCCACCTCCTTGATTCCTTTTTGCAACTCAAGCTGCCTCTGATGCCTGAAGTGAAGTATTTGGCTTGCCGGGCTCTCTCTGTAAATAAATCGGGGCATAACAAGAGATCAGGTAACCAACAAGTCACTTACTTTCTTACCCAGACCCCAATAAATTCTTTCCTGCTGCAGATTCTCACTGGAGTGACTTTTATCTGGCGTTTCAGTTGAGGCAATGACAAGAGTTTTATGTGGCGTATCAAAAGTCAGGCAGGGTTGCTCTAACAGACCAGCACTCCTGGCAGCTCACAGGCAGGAGCTGCAGGGTGAGGGTGACGGGCAGCAAATGGTGCAGGCTTAGTGCTGTGTGGTGTGACAGAAATGCACATCTCCATGGGGTGTGTGGGGCAGGATGCGTATGAGGGGAGCAGCGTTGCTGTGACATACCCTTACCAGGGGAAGCTGATGTGGAAGAGATGCAGCTGGAAGCTTGCTTTCCTAGGCAGGGTAGTAATACTGGTAACGGGGAGATAGATGCTGGGGGAGCACTAGGGCATTGGGTGTCCTGCATTCACTCCAGAAGGGAGCCACCAGTCCTTGCCTCTCTGATGTTCAAGGAGTCAGAGCCTACTTTTGCCCTGTCAAAAATGGTTAGATACAGCAGGTTATGACTCTGTGTCAAGTAAAAGTCAAGGCATTTTAACAGTTATGATCCTAAGCTTATAAATGAGAGGTTTTTTAAGCATAAAGCAGCTGTGCTCTTGTCATGTGACTGGAGACAAGCAAAGCACTACGAACTCCTACCGAAATCCTGCAAGTTATCTGGAGTATTAATGATGCTAAAATCCAGGACTCTTCTCCTGGGAGAAGGTGCCCTTGAAAGATGGGATGATGTACTGCTGCATCCGAAATTCTTCCATGTGAGCTACCCTTCTGATGCAGCTCTGTCGTCAGCACTACGCGTCAGCCATTGCCAGGCTTCAACCTGACACCAAGGGATAAAAAAAATGGAGCAGCTAAAAGGAGGAGAGATCCCTGGGCACTAAGAAACCAAGTTAGAAACTCTTATTTTCCTAAAGCGTGCATGAACCTGGAAGTGAATATTCCTCCCCAAAGTCTGTCCCATGCTGCAAATCCTGCAAAACCCCTTCATCCATGGAAAGTCCCTGGCAGGTTGTGCTGCTCCGTAGGATCGCACCTACCGCTGCTCTCCCTGTAAAGCATGCAAGGCTGTTTCTGAATACATGAACCTTTTTACACCTGCAGTAAACAGTGGAACAAACTTTCACCTTCAAAGCAAAGCAGAGCTTGTTCAGTGGAAAAATACAACCTTGGCAGCCCTGGCCATGCAACTGATAAAAAAAAAAAATCCTGCCTGTTAATCGCAATTCAAACAGAAATCCGCTCCCCGTCAGCCGGGGGAGCTTGTTTATGTGTTTCTTGGAACAATAAAACTCATTACCTGGCAGCCGATCAGCTTTTATAACCTAAGCAGGCACCTGACAGAGGGGTGCAAAAGAGAGCTGCTTCAGCACAAAGCCCGTGGCGGAAAAGCCAGCCAGCGACAGCAGGGCTTCGGTCCCAGTGAGGCACTGACAGGCACTTCCAGCTCAGTGGACATGCGATGTCCTTTTCCAAGTCTTTATCGTGATCCTTCTGCTGTCGCCCATAATCAGAGTCTCATGGTGCCCAGAGCCCACAGACTCCTGCAAACTCTCTGTGGACAGGATGGCACCCCGTCCAAACAAGGGGAGGATAAGGGGGCAAAAACAACAGCGAAAAGGAAGAGAGATCAGACTGAGACCTGCAAACGTCACCTCAGTGCCGCAGTTCTGGGGAGACGGATGGGCTCAGCTGGGGGGTTTGCTGGGAGTAGGGGGGGAAGGAGCGGGGCGGCCGGCGAGGTGGAAAAAGTCTCGGGGGATGAGGTATGAGCCGGGCAAGGAGGCACGAGGGGCTGAGATGGGCAGTGGCAGAGCCCATCTGTGGCGGAGCTGGAGGACGCCTTGATGACACAGCCGAGCTGAACTTTGCCCGCTGTGGATGTGTTAGGGAGGCATTTTCCCTCCTTGCCCCTCATTTATTCTCCCTGCTTTGCTGTTTTGTTTGTTGGGGATATCAAGGCACACGGTTCAGCCTGTTTTACAGCTTTGAACTCCCATTTCCCCCAGCTCCCACACAAGCTGGCTCTTCCCCTGCGCTAGCAGGGCTCGACCAAGACCCTGCCTCTTGTATCCGATCCAAGACCCCCAGAAACCGAGCACGTAGCAGGTGTGCGTAGGGCTTTCTGCTTATATAAACCTGTAGTTCTACAGTTGCATACATCCCCATGGAAACCACGAGGAGTTTCCCCTTGGTGAGGACGGCAGTAACATCACTTCCTGCTGCTGACAAACCAATTTGTCACAAAGTGATAAAAAGGCATGTTTTGTGTCTGCAGGAACTGGCTCCGGGCTTTGTTCCTCCCAAGCCAGAGGCTGCTCACCCGCCTCGAAGGCAAACAACGGCCATTGTGCGCTGCGCAGAGCAGGGATGGGGAGACGCGGACAAGTCCTTCGGGCCCCCAAAATGCCAGAGCGTGGACCACCAACACCCCAAAGGTTAAAAAGCGTAGAGAGAAAATGCAAGTCATGGTAATGTGTAACCCAACACAGCATGTGGGGCTCCATACAGCACCCACAGACGGGTCCCCACAGCTGAGGGGTGTACGCAGCCAACCCACCGAGGACACAGCACGTGAGCCGCGCGTAATACCCCTGGCAAGATGCAATACCCAGGGGATACAGTATACCCAGTTATCACATGACAAACAGACACAGAGCTCCAGATTAGATGCGTCTCGGGTAATCCCCTTGTCTCAAAGCTTTTGCCTTTCTTTTGTAATCAGCGCTTCGAAAGTCGCTGCGTGTACTCAAGCTTAGGGACTATCCTGCATTAGTCACCCCCAGGATCAGACTAGCAGGGCTACAAGGATGTGTTATGCCATTACATTGAAAAAACATTACATCCAGATCATACACAGGCAAATCTAGTTTGCCCGGTTACCACCTGGGTTTTTTCCTCTGTCTGGCTCCAAGGCAGCAGAAAGGGCACTGAGAGTCATTTGGAAATGGTGTGAGTGCAGCCCCGGAGAGCCCATTCCCCAGCTCTGCAGAGTCGCAGTGCAATGGGGAAGGAGAAAAGGTCGTGGTGTGTGACTGTCTAGTGTGGTTAGAAGTCACTATGCCTCACACCTCATCTAAACCTGTTTCTTATCCTTTCCCTTGTCCAGCAACGATGTCCATGACAGACCCCTACATGCAGAGTAGCCAATGAGACTCTACCCAGAGCGTTGGCTTCCCCAAATCTGCTCCGATCCAAGGCTGTAGGGAGGTTGGGAAAACAGCCAAAACCCAGGCTCAAACCCACTCATGCTGAAACAACAAATTAGCCCTGAGGTTTGTGCTGCGTGTGGCTTTCCTGCTACATGCTATTTACTATGGTGCGGAGCCAGCGGCCACGGCTGATGGGGGGCTGGCAGCCCTGCCGAGAGACGTGGCCAAGGCGCCTGGCCAGGTGGGTCCCGTTAGCACCCATCAGGGGCATAAAAGGTTAAGTGGGACTAAGATATTAAAGGAGGGAAAGCAGGCCTGAAGGGAGAGACCTGAGAGCTCTCAGGGAGAAGTAGGACCTGCTGATTTGATTGGCATTGCTGTGAGGACTTCAGCCTGGCCAGCTGGCCCTGGTGGGGACCTGGCTTGGGGTCTGGCTCAGGTCTTTGTGTCCTGCTTTTTCTCAGGCTGAGGGCAACCTCCAAGGGATGAATCCTGGTACCTGAGAGGTAGCAGCTGCTGGGGTGGGTAAAGGATTCCTGGTTTTGAGAGCTATTTCCCATTTTGGAAGTGCAGTTGTACAAACCTGTGCCTGTCTGGAGAGCAGTGCCAAGGTCCTACGTAGAACTGACACTGTTAGTCTGGCACAGAGCAAGTTGGCTCCATCATCGTAAGACTAGTGGCCAAAACCAGGGGAAAAGGCAGGTTT